ATAAAGAACTGATAAGTAGAGTTATTTGGTTTTATAGCTTGGAAGAGCTCATAAGCAGCAAACTATAACCAGTATGTTGTTAAATGGAGCTACGGGGATACTGACAATCTGAAAAAGAAAAATAGATCTGAAGTTCTATCACTTTATAAAATAATAATAGGTATTTAGGATAATAAAGTTGATTTAAGAGAAGAATTCAGTTTTATCCATTATCTATGAGGGTAAGGAACCAGGTGATCAACTTTAGAAAGATAATCATAATATTGCTTCAAAAATATCTCACTTGGGGCTAGGGTTGTAGCTCAGTGGTAGAGTGCTTGCCTAGCACATGTGAGGCACTGGCTTCAATCCTCAGCACTACATAAAATTAAATCAATTTTAAGAAGTTATTTAAAAAATCTCACTTATAGAAAACCCAGAAACATCATTTATTTGGCAATTTTATATAGTTGGATTGCATTCACATCCAACATTCTAGTTCAATGAAACATTGTAATTTTTTCTACAGATATAGTCAAGAATGTATGGTCTTTCTTATTTAATTTATGCCAATACTAATTTTATAATGGTTTATCATCCATAATAATTAATAACTGTTTCTACATTAAAAAATCTGTGTATGCTGCTGCCCTGGGGCTTGGTTTGTAGAAAGCATGACTGCCTTTTCTATTTCAATTAGGTTTATCAGTAATAAAATTATTAATTCTGTGAGCACATAAACTTCTTTGATTAATGAAGAACACAGGTTGTGTCTATAATAAATCACTTCTTATTGCTTTATTAAGATATATCTAAAATGTTCTAGCATCTAATTAAAACATGAAGATGCTCAACATCATTGTCATTAGAGAAATGTAAATTAAAATTGTAATAAGATATTATTTCATGTCCACCAGAATGGCTGTAATAAAAATATTTAGGTAATAACAAGTGATGGTGAGAATATAGATGAACTAGAATGGTCATACACTGTACATGGGCATGTAAAGTAATAGTCACTTTGGAAAACACTTTGGTGGTTTCCTAAACAGTTAAATGTACTACATGAGTCAGCTATTCCATTCCATTCCATATACACCAAATAAATGAAAACCTGTATTCATACAGAAACTTTTATGTGAATGTTCATAGCAGCATTAATCATAATAGCTCCAATGAGGAAACAACTCAAATGTTCCTCTACTAATGAATGAATTAACAATATGTGATATTCCCTACAATGAAATACTATTCCACAAAAAGTAGAACAAAGAACTGATACATGATATAAGATGGATGGGTCTCAAAGACTATGCTCAGTGAAAGAAGCCAAACCAAAAGGAAGACATTGTCTGGTTCTTTTTGTATGAAATATCCACAGTAGATTACTGGTTGCTTGCAGTTGGAGTTGGGTGTGAGATTGCTTTGGGGTGATGGGATACTGTAGGCTGTGGTGATAGTCTTACATCTCTACAAAATTACTGAAAGTAATTAAATTGTATATTGAAAACAAGTGAATTTTGTGATATGAATGCTATCTTTATACAGTTGTTAAAAATATCCTGACATGGGCTGGGGATGTGGCTCAAGTGGTAGCGTGCTTGCCTGGCATGTGCGCGGCGCTGGGTTTGATCCTCAGCACCACATACAAATAAAGATGTTGTGTCCACCGAAAACTGAAAAATAAATATTAAAAAATTCTCTCTCTCTATCTCTAAAAAAATCCTGACATCATAATACAACAGCAAGAGAATGACTGTTACTTTTATCAGCAATTTGTTCCTTTTTGTTGCTAGCTCATGCTCCATTACATGGCTGTCCCACAGTTTGTTTATTCATTTACCAGGTGGGGAACATCTAAGTAGATTTTGGGTTCTGATGAAAATGAATAAGCCACTATAAACTTTCATCCACTTTTTAGAAATAGTAAATTTTCATTTTCTCTTCTCTTGGGGCAATACTGAGTAGAGGGATTGTGGGTTATATGGTAAGTATTTTTTACAAGAAACTATCAAACTGTTTTCTGCCAGCAAGGTCTGTGTGTCTCTATTGCTGTGCATCTTCACCAGTGCTTGCAATGTCAAGTGCTTTTTTTTTTTTAAGCCATGGTAATATGTAGTGGTATCTCACTGTGATTTTAATTTGATTAACTGATTTTATTTTTGGATTAGTTTTTGATATGGCATATCCTTTCATGTGCTTATCTGTCCTTTGTACATCCTTTTGTTAAAGATATTTTGCCCTCCTTTTATAAAAACTATTTTTTTCTAATGATTATTTTCTTTTTGATTTTATATATAATAAATGCTTTTCATATATGTTAGATTTAGTCTTTTATTGGATGTGTTTTTAAAAATATTTTCCTAGTCTCTGGTATATCTTTCAATGCTTTTAAGTAGCATTATACAAAGAAAAACATTTTAATAAAGTCCATTTATCAATGTTTTCATTTATGACTTATATTTTCTTGTCATATCTAAGACATCTTTGCCTAAGGATGTACAAGGTCACAAAGACTATCTCCTCTGTGTTTTCTTCTAGAAGTTTTATAGACTTAGGTTTTATATTTAGGTCCAATGATCCATTTTGAGTTAATTTTTTTATACGTAGTGAGGGAAGGTCAAAGGTATCCATCCCTTTTTTACATACAGATATGCAGCTTTTCCAGGACTGGTTGCTGAATGTCAATTTTGCCTTAAAGCCTTGATTTGCTATTTTTATTATTCAAGTAAATTAATGAATAGATTAAAAAGCGGAGAAGAAAGTGAGCTATAGGCATAGAGGATGATGAGGAGGATTCATTCATTTTGACTGATTTGGACCAAACTGTTCTATATACTGACACATATGAGATTATTACCAACATGAGTCATTCATTCACTCAATGTTACAGTTTGGATCTGGACTATCCAACAAAAACTCACATGTTGAAAGCTTGGTCCCCAGTGCAGAAATATTTGGAGGCGGAGCTTTTAGACAATAATTGGGTCATGAGGCATCTGATTTCACCACTGATCAAAAGGATTCAATAGCTGAATGGAGGAAGTAAGACAGTTGGAGGAAGGCTAAACTATTCTGGGATACTAGTGTAAGTCCTAAAAAGGTTTATCATGTCTCCTAACCCTTTTTCCTTCTCTCTGTTGCTTAGCTGGCAAAAACTGTGAGCAGTTTTCCTCTGCTATGCCATCCTGACATGGTGTTCTGTCTCACCTTAAGCCCAGAGGGATGCAACTGGCCACCATTGACTGACTCCTATGAAATGGTGAGCCAAACTAAATCTTCCCTTCTCTAAGTTGTTCCTGTCAAGTATTTGATCACAGAGACAAAAGCTGACTTGCACACTCAGCAAATGTTTACTAATCAACTGTTATGTAAAACAAGCACAATTCTGGGCTCTGGAGTTCTGGGATCTAGGGTTGAATTGGTAGATATGGTACCCTTACATGGATATTATATCAAATATTTAAGTATGAAAGGATAATGTGGTAGCATATGACCAACTCTAATAGAAAATAGAGATTTTTAGAAGTATGAGTTACTGAAGTATAAATCCTTCATATTAAACATATAAATTGAAGCAATAATCTATTGTTCAAGCAGACAGTGTGAAATAACTCCAAATATCTGAAAGTGCCAATTTACAGATTGAGAAGTGAGAGGGAATATACATAAAATTTATGCAATACATGAGATTACCTCAAAATGGGGAGACCAAACTGTAGATATGGTACTTTTAAAGACGGGGCTATTTATATCAGCAACAATTTTGTAAAATAAAGTATATTAAAAGTAGAATATTTCTTAGATACAGAAAATAGAGCTTCAAAATAGAAAAATATGACCAACAATAAAGTACAAAAAATGTGATATAATGTTGGAGAAGGGGGCGGAGAATACATATGTATAATTCTGTTAATGTAAAATGTCCAGAAAAGGCATAGAGATTGAAAGAAAATAGAGATAGAAAGTAGATTAGTGGTTGCTTAGGGCTGCCTGAGGGGATGAGGAAGTTAGAGAGAACAGGGTGAGATGCTAACAGATCTGAAGTTTCTTTATGGAGTGATTAAAATGCTCTAAAATTGCTGTGGTAAGGGTTGTACAACTCTGTGAATGGGTTAAAATCCATTGATTTTTTTCGGTGGGTAAATTATATAGCATGTGAATTATTTCAATAAAGCACTTACAAAAAGGGATTAAGGCATATGTGAGTCCCATTATAATATGTTAAATGTATTTCAATTCTGAATCAAAATAAACTATAAAACAAAATAAAATGGATTTATGAGATAGTTGGAAAAACTTGGGAGTGAAACAGGATTAAAGACATATTTTAGGTCATTGGTTTTACTGGTATAATTCCTCAAATGACCATGAATAATAGTACAGGAGAGAGGGTGTTTTTTAAGTGGCTCGTTTCCATGTACCATAACCACACTGGGTAAAAATATATTGAAATCTATAAAATTTCCACATGCAAACATTCTATTTACACATTTCTTATTTGAACACCCAGACATCTGTCATACAGAGTAAAAAGAATGTTTATGAGATGGGTGTTCTCTTACAGCCAAGCATATTACATCATAAGGTATGTGTTTCACAGCTTAAATTTCCTATATATAAATATGTTCCAAATGTAATTTTTCTTGTTTTAAATATTTTTACATGTGAGAAAATGTACGGGTATGCTGGCTACAGTAGATGAAAATGAGGAATGGGCATGTATTTTAAGGACTCTGTAATATGTAATATTAGTCAACAGATGTTCATCTGATTGTACTCTCCTAAGGGAGTAAATATAACTGAATTGCCATTCCTTGATTAGTTCTCATGAAAGGAAATCCACTCAACAACAAAGAACACTGTCAGAAGACCACAGTAATATGTTTGCTTGCTTGATTTTTTTTAAAATTCTAATCTTAAATTTTAGATGTTAAGTGGCAATCTGTAATAGTTACAAACAAAACTATGGAATATTTTAACTTCCTGATGATTGCTCAAACAAAACCCAAACCTCTTACCATCCTGTTGATCCGTACAAAGTCTTCAGGTTTTTTTGCCCAAGGGGGAAGATCAACATCATTTACCACTACTTCATCTTCTCTGACACCAAGATTATATCCATTACTGTTGACAAACATTTCTGGTAGGTAGTAGAACTCTGGAATTAGTTCCTGCCAGGATTAAAAAATGTAGCATATTAAACCATTGTATACAAATCAGTTTAAGAAATCTATTACCTTATCACTTACTAACTATAAATGGAATTAAATACTTTCTTTACGTAATGGCAAGATTTTAGTCCTTATAGTCTTCATTTTATTTAAGAGTCTGAGAATATTAAACATTTCTCTTGAATAATTTTTGATTATAATGTGCAATATTTTATAATATCACCCATTTTCAATTTTATTTTGTCACAAATTAATTAAGAGAAACAGGCATATAAATTAATAATGGTTCATAAGACATTAGTGAACAAATATGTAAAGCTACATTGACCAATGTAGGTACTTAAACAACTTTTAAGTCTTAATGAATTATTCCCAAGTTAAAAGAATCACACAATATTTTCTACTTTTTAATTTTTTTAAACCACAATGGTAATTACTAGACAGGATGTTTATAAGGAGATTCATAGCTTTATTTTTTGACTTGACCAAATTCTTTCTTTTCTCTTTTCTTTTCTTTCTTTCTGCAGTGCTGGGGATGAAACCCAAGGTTCTTGCACATACTAGGCAAATGCTTTGCCACTGAGCTATACCCTAACCCCAAATAAAGTAGTTACTCATACATATCACTGAAGGTAGTGAGGAGATGATATGTAATATTGTAATCAGTTTTAAAGATTTAGTGTATGCCATTGGAATGTAGGTTATTAAAAATTGGATACAAAGATAACTTATGTGTGGTACATTATATCTAAATGAGGTTTTATGTTACCTTATACAAAATCTGATATAGAAAAAACATGATTCTAAGACCCTAAAATTTTTTACTTTTATGTAAGTAGGATAAAATGAAAAACAAAATAAAACAACTGTAGTTTTTATGTACACCATCAATATAATCTTTTTAAAAATGTCAAGATAAGGGTTAAATTAACTTTCAATTGCACTGTGAAAAGCATACGGCATTTATTCATATAATCTGATCAACACTGATGGGCATAGCACCTGAAATTGAATCTCATTGTGGTCTTCTCTAGGGATGCACAGAAAAAAAATTAAAAACACCAAGCACTGAGACCTTCAAATAAATTGTGTCCTCAATTTTCTAAGAAAAGCACAAAAGAAAGTTTTTCCTCCATGGGTTCTCCCATTAAAACCAACATATATGTTATAGTACAAGTGGGTACTTACATCAGTAATGTTCTGTGTGAATTTGATCATGATCCCTTCTTACCATAATTGTGAACCATAAGAAAAGGATAATTGTGTTTATTTTCTCTAGCATTGTGGTATCATAAACAGGTTTATATAAATAGGTTTTCTGGATAAATGGAGACTAGTATTTTAAGAATCAGAATTTTCTTCTAAATAAAATATTTAAAAAGAAATCTTTCTAAAATCTTTTACACAAATTCCCTTTCATTCACTTATTCACAAAGAAAAGGTTTGAGTTCCAGACACTGTGAAGGGTACTCAAAACAAAAATGGGTAAGTGATGGCCTTCATATCAGGTAACTAAAAGCCTAAAGGGGTGATGTATAAATAGGTGGTTATAATGTACAGCAATAACAGCTGTGGAAGGAGTAGGCAAAGAGGAGCAGGGAACCAATTGAGACATTTGAGCAGATCATGGCTAAGATGAGATCAGGGAAAGAGGCACAGGGGACTCTCAGGGAGCACCATCGAGGAGTGGTAAGAAAGTGAGAATGGGTGGAGGATAGGAAATATGGGTGGGTCGATCTGGACGAGGAGAGGAGATGGTAGGAGTTTTAGGGACAATGATGAGGAAGTTTTGTCAAGGCTAGGCTATATGGATTTCATCTTACAGACAACCAACATTTTAAAGAAGTTATTGTTTTACAAAAGGAACTGGGTGACAAAGTAGAAGGTGTACTGGAAAGGAGGGAGACTGTCCTTGTGGGGAAGAGGAAAGGGAGAGGGGCTGCTGTGAGGTGTGGAGTTAGAGGATATATGTGCTCTCTGTAAAGGGGCAAGGATCTACAACAGAGCTACCAGTCAACCAGAGGGGATGGAGAAGGTCAGGGGCCCAGCATACCCAGAAAGTGAGGGAATTAAATGGCTCATGCTGAGGGGAAAATATATGCTCACGATCAACTATGTAAGAGATGTCCACACCACAATGAACTGTATGGAAAAGGGGGTACAGTGAAATTAATGTACGTGAAGAACATTTTCAATGGCCTGAATGTGGAAGGGGAAGGGAGAAGGGGCTGAAAGAAAAGCTATAAGGTAAACAAACCTGCTTATTGCCAATAAGAGAGGGCTTAATTGAAGAATAGGACAGGGGTTAAAGTGTGCTTCAGCAATACTCTATCAGCAACGATTATAATGTGCTTGATTTCCCTGCAGGGCAAGCATGGCAGTGTAAGTCAGTCACTGAAGGAGCAATCTGGTAAAAGTGTACGATCACTGATTAGAAGGTAGAAGTAAGAAATCACTCTTTCCTGAGGTATTTGTACCCAATCAGAAATGCATAATTATCATCTTATAATTTCAAAGTATTCATATAAAACATAAAGTTTTCTTCTGATCTTACTCCCACTCTTCAGAGAATATTAGTGAATGGTGTAGAGAAGGCAAAGACCAATGACTTTTGCACATGACCTACTCTTAATATGACACTGAATTACATTAACATCCCGAAAGGGCCCAAAGCGGGAAAGACAGGTACACTCAAGCTGCTGCTTAACTTGGAGGGAACTATACATAATAGACTCACATAAGTCAGGGATTGTCCTTATTGCCTTTCTTCAGTTATCTGTGCTCATGTCCTATGTTAAAAAGAGGCAATAGGCTTTCTGGAGGACAGAGAAGGATATACATCCCTAGCATGGATTTAGTTCATTTAAACAGCCTAAAGAGTCTCAATTTATCTTCTACCAACTTGGTACTATATATTTTTCACTTAGTATTTCCCATTCTTTCCTGTGTTGCAGGATCAGGTGTTTATTATTAACCTACTTAATATAAACCTTATAAACCTACTTAAAACTATAATATAGTTTTACTGAATGACATTATGTTAAATTCATGAAGGCACAAAAACATAGGATTTAATAATATTTCAGGCAAAAGCAAAATTCCAAGCCTTATTTTGTGAGGTTTGTATTTTGTTGAATCCCTCCCAGCTCCTGGTGCTCTATTTCCCATGTAGAAGGTGCTCATTAAATATTAAACTGCTGAAGATAATAGATGAAGTTATTTTAATATCACCAGAACTCTTCTGGGGAAAGTGTGTATGGCTGGAAGAATGCCTCAAGATACGAGAAGAGGCAATGAAGAACTTTATTAAATACAAGAAGAACAAACCTGGAAACAAAATCTCCACTTTGGGAGGGCAAACTTTTGCAGTTTGAAAAATGTTACCTTGCTTATTCTAGCTGTGTTAAAAAGGTTCAAAAGTGTTAAAGAGATCGATTTAAATACAGATAAGAACTGGCCCCAGTCAGAGTCTCCTTGGATGTTCCTCTGGAGCACCCATCCCTTGCAGTTCTAAATCTCCACCAGGCACATCTTTCTCAGCCTCACTTTGTTCTCCTTGGCAATGGGCAGCTTTTAGTGCTCTTCTTTCTTCACTGTTTAGATTAAAATGAAATAGGTCTTACTTTGGTCACTTCAGGAGTTTGGGAACAATTTTTTTCTGGCAACTTTAAAATCAACTTTTTCCTTTTCTCTCTTCCTTCCTTCTCTTCCTTTCCTTCTTTTTCCTTTTTTCCCCTTTCCCCTTCCTCCCTTCCTTCTCTTTCCTTTGGGGGGGGGGCGTTCAGGTGGTGCTAGGAATTGAACCCAGGGCCTCACACATGCTGAACATGCATTCTACCACTGAGTTACATCCCAAACCTTAAGAAACCAAGCTCGGGGCTTCAGGTTCAGACAACCAGACTCCTTAAGCCTACGTTCCCTTCTCTTCTATTGTGATTTTTTGAAAAAATGTATTTGTTCTTTCTAGTTATACATGGCAATAGAGTTTTATTGTGATTTTAAAAGTAGCAACTCAGGAAGGAAATGTGTGGGGGAGAGGCAAGAAAGGGAGGGAAATGGTGGGGTGGTGAATATGAATATGATCAAAGTATGTTATATAGCAAGATGAAACCCATTATTCTATATAATTAATATGAATTAATAAAAAATAGAGTAGCAATCCAATCATACATGACTTTACTTTGGTTTAGCTTTCTGTATGACAATTATTATTATTTTAGTATTTAGGAATGTTTACATGTTCCACAAAATGAAAATTCCAGGATGAACTGTCTATTTTATTCACCTGTTACTTGTCGCAACTCATTTGCTAAAAAAAAATGGTGCCTGACTCATGATACATACTCCACAAATATTTGTGAAATTAAAAATGAAGCAAGTATTGCTATGTTTACTATGTCTTGAGTTTTAAGCATAAAATACTGATAAAAATATTGAAGGCCCTGTTTTTCACATTGCATTTATTAAAAGAGGAGAATCTTGGGCTGTCAATTAGTTGAAGAGGCTGGATATGCAGCAGTTTGGGGATGGTTCCTTCTTCTACCTTCTGATGCTACTTTATGTGTGTCAGAATCAAAGAGATGTGACTTTAAGTGCAGACTTCCTGCTAGCTTGGACACGTTTCTTAATCTTAAAATTGTCAGTGTCTTTTTCAAAATGGTGATGATACAATGGAATTTTATTCAACCATAAAGAAGAATGAGACTTGTGCTTTCTGCTAAGGAAATTTCCAGGAAGAATGGTAAAAGTGACTAGTGGTTTCTGTTAATGGTGTATGGATATGGTACTGAAAGACAGGATGTGATAAGAAAGAAACTGTCCAGTTTTGAAGCAATAATATTAGGAAATACAAGGGCTTAGGACAATCTCTTCAGATGGCTAAAGATGCTCAAAATAAGATACAGGTTGGGGACAAGAATCAATTGAAGATGTTGCAAATAAAATAAAACCATAGGGTGAAGCTTAAGAACAGGTGTGCCCTGTGCCTACTAGAAGAAAAA